TTGATCGGATATTTGCTGTTGTTGGTTTTGATTGAGTGGGTCTAAGAGTGAGGAGAGGTCGGATGATTTGGGGTAGATTCCAGCGGTGGCTAGGATGGTATCCTGTGGTTCGGGGAATGAAGGGTGTTCTTTTGCCCAGGTGAGGGTATCATATCGGAATGGATGTTGTTGTTCTGAGGATGAGTTGGTAGGTAGATAGCTGTTGATTTGGTTTGGTGATGAGTGTAAGTCCATCGTAGCAAATTCGCCTTCCATCGGCAGTGGTTCGTCAACGAATGATTTACTATTATCCTGTTGTTGTTGTTGTTGTTGTTGCTGCTGTTGCTGTTGATCGTATCCAGTGAGGTAGTTGTTATTTTCTAGGATGGATTGCGAGTTAGCGGATGATTCGGAAGCATTGGAAGGATGTCGATGATGTCGATACATAAGCTGTTGCTGTTGCTGTTGCTGCTGTTGTTGTTGTTGCTGTTGCTGTTATTATATGGGTGGCAGTGATAGGATAGTTGGTTAGTATTTCGTTTGTTTAGGTGGGTTTGCTTAGTTCTGCTTACTTCGTTTGTTGTCTGTATTAATCCTGGAGACATCCTGTTAGTTCTTGAGACAGTGTGATTGGGTTGTTGGTTGGTTTTTGGTTGGTTTTTGGTTTTTTGGTTGGGAGAAGGAGAAGGAGAAGGAGGAAGGTGCTCAGCTGTGACTAACTCCGGCCGAAGAGAGCACTGTTGATGGCTTGACCCCCCGGGCTCCCCCCCGCATACATCCAGTTCTGTGCTCCCGATCAAACTTCAAATCCGGATCAACCACCCCCTGACTCACAAAGCCTTCTCTCTCACAGGTCGACCAGGCAACGACCATGAACCAGCCTCATCATCTGATTCTGATGGAGATCATCCATTATGTAATCATCCTCCCTACACACAAACCGAGCCATTCAACAAACAGTCGATCACTCGAGAGCTAAACATATAGCTATTTAGGTAACCACTTATCATCATCCCAATCAGCCAGTATGACTGTTACCCCTCTCACACGTTCTCTCAGAATACATGTGATTTAAGAGGAGAGATGTGGACAGGACTACGCACAAACATGGGTCTCAGTCTGTGATCCTTATGAACTTGGTGGCATGCTAATTAATCATGGAGATAGTCTCACCACTTGGCCAATAGCAATTTGTGACAACCCTATAAATTTCAAGTGTTCATGAGGCCTAAACTAGCCAAACAAAAACACACATTCGTCTAGATATTTATTGCCTCAGATACTTCAGTGGGAGGATTAATGTCATTTGGCTAGCCCAAAGTGAATGCAGGCTTTTGATCCTGGCATTACATAAATAGACCACCTAAATACTCAAGGGGTCACAACTCCATTGCTCAACCAATCCCCACTTATATACATAATAAGTCTTTGAAAGCATCACTATCAAATTGCAGGGGAAGATACCCTCAGCATCTCATGATATGTGGATAGCAATCAATCAGTCAATTGAACTCAAAAGAGATAGAGTCCAGGCTAAAGATTACAACCAATCAGTCATTGTTTTGAACAAACACCCATTAATCACTGTCAAACAAATCTCAAGGAACTGCGGCCAGCTGACATGCAGAAACTCTCTTCAAAGTTGGGTTCTTCCTCAGATGTTACTCATCCATTACCTCAGCCATACTTCGATCCACAGTCACTCTGCAGAAATTATTGCATTGGAATAGATTACAGTATGACAGAAGTCACATCGGGAGTAACCTGCATGTCAACTTGAGTTTTTTTTTTTTCATAGTGAATCTGTCTGAGTTTGGTATAGAGATGTTGCTTCATACCCGGGCACCTGCCTCGAAAATCCAATATTTTGGACACCTGCACCCGCACCTGCACCCGCCAGGTCAGCCAGGGTGGGTACCCGGGTACCTGTGGGTGTGGAGGATTTTTTGCAGGCAAATATACCCAGAAATCTGTCTCAATGACTGGAGGGATTCCTCCAGTTGTCAAGACTGTACATTGTCTCAAAGGCCGGAGGGAACCCTCCAGCCTCAACAAAGCAGCCAGATTAGCTCAGCAACCCATGTAGGAAACCATCCTGTGTCCTACATGGGTTGCTGACACCTTTGTGCAGCCCAAAACACCCAAAAAAAGCGAGTGTTGGACCGCCAATAATCATTTAAATTCTTCAGGGGAAGCATTCCCAGGGCGGGTGTAAGGCGGGTACACGGGTACCTGCCTTTTTTTGTTGAAACTCAACGTGTCACAAGCCTATCCGGTAAAAAGCAATTATTCATTATTCTCATCATTCATACTCAACTGGACTGCACATACCAAACCCGCATCCAAGAATCCAAAACCACATCTTGAACTATAATCATCATTGTGGGAAACCTAATTGTGTATCAACTCTTGAGTATAAAAGCTGTCCAGATCTCCATTGAAACCTTCCCCAGTCTTCCTCAGTCTTCTCACCGACCACGACTTTGGATCACCTTTGACTCAACTAAAACCCTTCTCTTCCAACATCAACTGTGATCAATCATCAAACCGCCTCACCTCTATTCCATAACCAATCATCAACTAATCGCCTTGTCTCACAAATCCAACTTGGTGAGAACTTCATCAAGAAGCCCTAGCACCTGTCTCCCTCTCATCTGATATTCAAAATAACTAATCTTTCTTTTACTGCAGTCCATCTTGTTGTCCTGTCTTCTCTTAATAATTTTAGTTGTCTGTCAGAAGTATCTATCAACTCATTGGGTATGCTTCTGTTTCTTTTCCTTTCTATATCATCATCTAACTGTTATCTAATACCATTTTGTATAGCTCTGGTTTTTGTCTACAATCAATAAAGATTATCACTGCTAGGTTCTTTATTTTTACCCCAAATGTTGACACCCACACCCGTACCCGTTTGCAGGTACCTGCTTTGTAAAACAGGTACCCGCAACAGGTACCTGGCCTGCTGACATCTCTAGTTTGGTATGTAAGACTGGGGTGTGATCTCATCAAAACAAGCAGCAGGGTAAGGAGTCCAAAAAAGGGAACAAACTGGCTCACACAAACTGATACCACTTCATTGGCCTGTAGCCAGAACCTTCTTTTTTGGAGGGGTTCTTCTGGAATCAATTCTTGCACAATTCAAATCTGATTATTTTTTTCTTATTTGCAGAAATGAGGTTTTTGGAAGTGCATCACAGGAGAGATTTCTTAAGCTCCTCACTCCTCCCAGTCACATGTAGGATGTATGTATGTACTTATACACTCCTTCATCTTTCCAGAGCTTCATGAGGTGAGAGGACATTCTTATTGCCATTTCAGAAGAGGCAGCATTAACAATCCTTGCAGTCTGGTAATCCTGGAAGAAAAGAAAAGTAGATCTTTCCTCATTGGCAATGGAAGATCCACCTGGCTCCTCTTGAATGAGATTGTCCAGGTTTGTTCAAATCAATTGGTTGTTTCAGCTAAAAGATTGATTAATAAAAGTTGATTCAAATGTTGCCAATGTACCGTGTCTACTTCTCCTTGATCCTCTGTTTTTGTAATCAGCTGGAAAAAGTCAAGGCACAAGATAGAGAGACACATGAATGATAGAGATACACAATTGTGAAGCTAGGAAGATGTGTTTGCATATTTTTTTTCTTTGATAAACCCAATTAGATAGATACTAAAAAAACTTAGTATCAACACATCTCAGTTTTGGACTATAAGGAAAGTGAAATTCTAGCCTTATCATCTATCAGTGTTCTTCCATCAAGAAACACCATGACAATTGCAAAAAAAAAAAAAATTGAATCAATTATGATTTTCTTTTGTGAACCAAGATTCTCATGTGATTGAGCATGGGTAAGGTCAAGGAAGCGGCGTAACGAGGGGTCTGCTCGGTGCTATCCGGGCTGATTTTACGGATCATGGGTACTTTTTCATACCTTTCGAAAATGCGGTAGATGCATAAGCTTAAGGTCTGATTTTACATGGCCCAGGAGATTCCACTTACCATCCTGGTTCATATTCTAGATCAAAGGTTCTAACCACTTGCACAAGACACGCAATAGCTTCCAAAGTGCCCAGATGCATGCCTATACATACCCGCGGACCACCCTATTCCATAAAGGCAACCTCAGCTCTCAATAGCCAAAGCCAGATAATTGATGAAGGGTACACTGACATTGAATGCATGGAACTTCCATTGTCCAAACTGCTTCAAGTTTCCGCTGTCGTCTATCCAACGAGACGGTTTAAACTCGGTGCAATCAGGCCCCCATATGCTCGGATCTCTGGCCATCTGCCAATCACTGAGAAGCAAGACAAAAAAAGAGTTGAACAGCATATTTTTTTTTAAAAAAAAAACTCTTAGCTCCGGTTTCGGAAGAATGAAGTTGAGAAAATGCTTGCCTCCAGCGTAAACAATCTCCAGGTTGTACCAACGGGCCATTTGGGATTTTATCATGATCCACCGCAAATTTGGCGTTCTAAACAAATCAGAAACAAGCCATTGTGGTAAGCTCTTCAAATTGATCCGGGCCCAGATGCTCCCACTTCACACTGACCTTGGGTACCGACGGATGTAATCGGAGAGCTTCATAAAAGACGGCGAGGTTATAGGTGAATTGTTTATAGTTTAGATAGTCGACCAGCTCATCGTTGGATGCCATCAGCTGGTCAATCTCAGCTCGCATCTTGGCCACCACGTCTGGGTTCCGGATCAAGTGGAAAAAAGTCCACGAGAGTGCCTGTGCTGTCGTGTCTCTACACAAACCCCCCCAAAACAGCAGGCAATTGTTAGCCCAAGCGAATGGGGACGTGGATAACTAGGTTGCATCTGTCTACCTTCCAGCAATGATCAAGTTGAGAGCCGAGTCTTTCAGTTCACTTCGTGACAGTGACAACCCTTTCTCATCGGTAAAACTCATGAAAAGACCCAGAAGATCTTGGTAGACTTGGGTGTCCTTATTAGGATTTGCAGCCCTCGAGTCGATGAGCTCGTATGCGTAGTTTTCAAGCGTCCGACGAGCCGCAATCATCTTGGGTCGGTTACCCACAAAACGGCCCAGTCTCACCCATATTGCAGTCATAATGAATCGCAAATCCAGCTGCTTCTGGACGTAGTCAAACGCTTCGGCGAACGGTTCCGTCTTCTGGCCTGAGAGGCCGGCTTTTAGACTACCCATATCTTGGCTGAATCTAAATGAGCAAGCCTATTTCAGTGCTGACCATTTCGATCCATCATGGTTCATCAAAAAAAACCTTACGTCATTTTGACAAACGACTCCAGGGTGAATTGGTGCAGCAGACTATCCATCTCCACAGCAGTCTGTGTTTCTGAATGAAAATTGAGTACTTCCATGAAGGAGTCCAACGTTTTGTGCACGGCTGGAGTAATGATATTCTTTCAAACCAAAACTGAGGTTAACAACTGGAAATAGCAGAAGAAAAGCCAATCATTTTTATTTTTATTTTTTTCGGATAAGGGATAACATACATTGAAATTGTTCGTGTTAAAAATCCTTGCAGTTGTTTGTCTTGTCGTTTTCCAAGCCGCGCCGTCAGTAACAAATATTCCTTGTCCGAAAACATCGGACATCACCTCCTGAAATAATGAACCCTAAAAAGAAGGATGTGTTTTTTTTTGTGAAGCCCGATCACCCTAATGCTCTGATTCATAGCCATGAGGATGACACAGTGATCAATGATCAGAGACGAGTCTTACCTTGACATAATTTTGGAAGTTAGCTAGAGATCGATTTTCCCGTCAGATTTCGTTATCCCATACAGACGGTAATGGGATGAGAAAGACTGAGAAGCGAAACGTACTCTTTTGGACATGCTCTATCCAATCTGGCCGGGTTATTTCTATGAGTCGCAAACCCGGCATCGTAACCTTGTCACCCGGCGAATTTTTCAGATGTGAGCTCAAACCTTTGAAATATTTATTCTTGAGATTTTGACCTACCGAGTAACCCACACCATGGATTAAGGTTTTTTGAGCAGCCCACTCTAAAAGATTTCGGCTGTTAAGAATCACTTCAGGCAACTGCGATGCAGGTAGTCGCGAAAGACCAAAGCGAGTGTTGAGATCTGAAAGTTAGAGAAATGATTTTTTTAGATCGCTCCGGACTTCTTGTGGTACTAACCTGTCCCAATCTTGTGGGGAAAAATAAGAGAGTCAGTGCTTCCAGCAGCTTGATCATAAATTCCAAGAAGCAGACTGCACAAGCTGTCAAGCATTACTAACAGAGGCCATCCGGGAAGATCATCATACACATCTTGTCGCTTTGATGTTCCGAAACCTTTGAAGCGAAAACCAAACAAGTCAGCCGATGGGAATTACCAAGTTGGAATGATCATAAAGTGCAGACCTCGCTTTCGACTACATAGGTGATGAGAGAAGAGCATCCCCATAACCACAGCGAAACGCGTTAGTCAACATGCTCCAGATTTTCTTATTTACTCAACAACTTCATCTAATCGAGGAGGGACTTACTACTTGATGAGCAATGACAAAAGTTTTGCAGCGACGAGGACGAGAAGGACTACTGTGAGGTGACTGGACAGCTCTGACATTTCACTGGCCACTCAACCGATTTCTCAAACAGTTCTAAAGATTGCAATTAAGCCTAGAATGGCAATATTTCCTCTCTTCGATTCGTCATTCATCCTGGGTTTCGAACGAACCAGATATTTAAATAAACACACCGAACTGATCGTTTCCAAACTAGCCCAGGATACGATGATATGGACTCCTCAGGAGGGGGGGTGGGGGGGGGCGACTTAGAAAAGGCTCCTTGATTGACATCTCAAATTATGCGACGACGAGATACGAAACCACTGTGACAAGGTACAAGAGGTGCCGGTGCTGACTAGATGATTGATATCACGATGGGCGCCCACTCGATCACATCTCAAACATTGGCTATGTTGAGAGAAATTGAGTTCCCCATTGGTTCATCACTGGGAAAGATAACGAGTGGCTGCTCAGGTATTGGAATTGCTGGCGGGTGCTTGACAAGCTCCAGGAGGGGAGATACAGAGTTAATACCAAGCTGGCCGATCAGGTTTGTCAGGTGTTGGATTCATTTCTTTTAGGAACACAACTTGAGAAGTTTAAAGGATCTGATGTTCGCCCGAGTCGATCACATCTATTCTAGAGCACCAGTACGGCTTTGCCTGGTCGGAGCAACGAATTCCTCAAGGACTTTGTGGTAGGGCAGGAAAAGGCAACCATCGAGTCATGATCGAGATGTCCAACGGCCACACTAGATGCTGTGAACCGACTTCTTGTTGGTGACCATCATATCAATTTACGATTTTGGACAATGCCTTCACCCTGCGTTCTCAGTGAACTCAACAAAGTCCGCAAGCTGAATAAAAACAATGTTGGCATAATAATTATTATTGACTTTGGTGATTTGAGGGTGTCGACACAACTCGCCAGCAGTTCATGATCACCCTGCATCTTAGGATTAATTGTCTATGATACTCGACTTCTCAAGTGCTATCTTCTTTTTTTAACAACCAACTACATACAAACATGATAAAACATACATCAAATCAACAATAAATCAAAACAACAACATGAACTGCACAAACAACTACACTGATGATAAGCTTATATGTATATCACACAAATGAAATATTTCGAGTCAAGGTAGATACAAATGGACAAGCAGGGTTGTACATATACTTACATCATTAGTAACAGAAGAAGATAGAGAAAAATATGATTCGTGAAGAGAAAGAGAATGCAACACGTATATATCTTCATAGTAGTCAAAAAAACAGCCGACTAACCTCGCCGACGTTATATATACTTTTAAAAGCCCCGAGCCCCAAAAAGAGCAAGAATCCGCTTGGATTGTTACTCCATAAATCAACAAAAGGAACATATTTATCGGAGCCGGGATGCGAAGAGTTTTATTTTTTTTGGAGTTGATCAACAATTCTTGAAGAATGGTTGGGCTACGACGAATTCGAGTTTCTCGACGACACCGATAGTAATCTGTCTACCGTCATCGACATCCTCGTCAGCGTCGATGTTCTCGAGGTCCTCTGGGTCCTCGTCCTCTTCATCGTCGGCATCGGGTTCAGGGTCGCTGAACACTTGTTCCTCAGCGGGCAGGCTTGGTCCCGCTTTCGCTTTCTTGGTCTTGTATGATCCCAGTCGGGTTGCATGTGGATTGGAGCGGATTGAGATCAGGCCCAGTTTGCCCCGCTCGATTCGACTCTGGATCTTGGCACGATGAGCCTGAAGGAGGGGGCGAGCCTCATCGACGGCGGTGATGTTGTTGATGCTCTTGGTCCTTCGCGAGGGCAGTAAGCCATTCGGGGCGCTTGGTTGTTCGTCTCCGCTGACCCTTCGCCCCTCAAATTCCGGGTCTTGCTGATCTTGAGAGCGTGGTTTTGTAAGATGATGAAGAGAGCGGGGTTTGAGAGTCGAACGATGTTGAGCTCGTTGATGGCTTCGAAAGCTTGGAACATCGATCTCAGATTCGGTGTGCCAGGCCTCTAAGGCATCCATCTGTTTCATCACGTCCAATCCTCTTGCTCCGTCGAGTGCCAGATGGTGGGAGGCTAATCCGACTGGACGGGGAGGAATTTTGTGACTCCCTGATGTTCGAGAAGACCATCCACGCCGTATGGCCGGTCGCTTGCTGGGTGTGACGATTTTCATGGGGGGAGTTGGGAAGTAAGATTGGCTGGCTGGTGCACTAGTAGATTGGAGCTCTCCTGATCCGTGATCGATCTCTCCGGGAGAGTCAAAATCGATTGCCTGATCGAGCTCATCCCAGACCACCTGTACAGGTTCATCCCACACTAATGCCTTCTGCCTCCGACACAACTCTAATGGCCCCTCCTCCTCATGCTTGAGGCTTTCGACAATGTTCCAAGCCTGTCCTTTCATCACCGCCATCTGTCGTTCAAACATTTGGACATTGAAATCGGGATCGATTCCAAACAGCTTCCGTAACTCGTGTACAGTTTCTGCCCACCACTGTTGGGAGGTCAGTAGAGGAAGAAAGTACTCCCGCGTGGTACGTGAGAATGGCTGTCCTATCAATGATGCTGGTAAGAATAGCCATCCATATGCGTATTCTCGCCAGCCGTTGGGATGGTGGTGAGGAAAAGCTAAAGAGTTATCGATCGCCGCAACATGGCAATGAGGACGATGCTGATAATCCTCACTTGTTGGTTCTTGGTTGGTATTTTCACCTTGTGGAATCGTGCTGGTCGAGGGCGACGTGTTAGACGTTTTGACATGTCGACGATTTGTGCAACTTGGTGCATTACACACTTTGATCATAAAATTGTCTAGACCTCTGTCGGTGTTTCGCATCAGATAGTCCCTAATGGATATGATTCAAGATTTGAAATAATAATAATTTGTGGAATCAATTTACCAAAATGATGGAGCGATGTGGTAAAGATTGAAGAGGGAAAACATGACAAACAATATGACTAGTTTTTCCATCTCGATTCGAAAATCTTCCATCAATTCAAACGTCCAAACCCAATCTTTGTTGTGATCTCGGCAGCTACCTGTACAGGAGCGCACCTTGGGAAGAGGATCAGGAGTGTGCTCAACGAATGTCGGGTCTTCATCTTCTGAGTCCGTGTCTCGATTTCTTCTATGCCCACAGAGCAATCGAAATAAACTGAATCTCCTAGGTTTCTTCCTGATGTTCTCGGTCTGATCTTCACTGATGGGAAAACCTGGCCAGGGATGTTTCTTCAAGAAAATCGAAGCATCTGGCAAAAGGGAAACAAAAGAAGTTCGATAAGCGAATGAGATCATCGGTTCAAGAAAAGAAAAAGAATAGGAGTATAAGATCAAACCTTGAAACCCCTGACAGAACAATTGAAAACTGCCTGGTTTTGCCGGTAGTTCCGGTTTGCGCAGATCTAACCAAGAGTAGAAAAACGTCGGTGAACTGATTGAGATGACTTCTGTTCTAGGCACTATGAACGTCTTCAATCTTCTGTCCAACAACGATGCTGCTGCCTAAAAATCCGCGGGGAAAAGGGCGTTTTTTCAAGTCATTAGCTTTGACTACGTGGGAAAACCTGATTGTAGAGGGGACATGTGAGATAATTTTTGTAATGGTAAAAAAGATTTCCGGTTACCTCACTCAGGTAAGAAAGATTGGGAATTAAACTTTAGAGAAAGGGTGCATAGGGAAAAACAGAAATCAAAATGAGAATTTTGATCATTTCCGGCAGATTGAAGATGAATTCAATAAATCAGTACGGTTCACAATGGGTCACTAATTGATGGGGTGTGTGTGTGTGTGTAAGACCTTAGTTACACGTCCGCTCTACCACTAATTGTTGGAAAACGTCTTCATGAACGCCCCATGTGAACCGGGGGGATTTTTTTTATGAGTTTAATTTAAAACAACATCCAACTCACCAACCTCGACCAAATCCACCGATAAGAGGAGCCAGAAAGACGCGATGGGCCCACTTGGTCCATTTAGGATTCATCGCCCCATCTGAATATCCCGAAAGACGCGCATTGGATCAATCAGCAGGTGTGTACACGTCTCATTTTTGCCTTTCTTTGATTGTAATAATATTGGAAAGGGTTTGACTCAACAAGGTTCTTCATCCTTTGGTTTGAAGATCCCCACGATCTCTATCTTCTCAGGATTGGTATCCTGATTATTTTGATGGAGGGAAGTAGATGAAGATTGGTTGATGTAATCTCGACAGAAGTAGCTCCCCGAGCTGCCTGATTGGTTTAATTTGGGTAGGAGAGGTTTAGTTGGATTGCTGATCGAGCGCTTGAGGCTGTTGACGACCGACGCGAACTCCTGATGGGAGGTAGGGGCTAGATGGTCAAGTGTTCGTGGTTGGGATGGTTTGGCTTGTTGGGTGAAGTTGTTTGGTTGAGCTTGAGAGACAAAGACGGTCTCGATGACTGGGATGGGTCTTTGGGTGATTTCTGCTCGCACTCGTTTCTTTAGCTTTCCTTTTGATATTCGAGTTGATGGTTTGTTTGAGATGATGGTATTGGGAGACTTGAGAGCTCCAGCATGTCGGTCGCTGCTACTGCTGCTGCTGTTGTTGTTGTTTGTTGGGATTGATGACTTGATCTTTGTGAAGAGTGATCTTGATGAGTCGATGTTCAGTTTGTATCGCTTGAGATTGCTATCGTTATCACCCTCAACATTCTTCTTGTGCTTGTTGAGTAGTAATTCGCGTTCCATCGTCTCTTCTCTTTGGTTATCAATGGTTGGTTCTTGTTCATCTTTCTTTCCTACTGGAGTTTCACAAAGTGGTCTTTACTTCAGCCATCCCTATCACCAGCCTGTCACAGAGATCACAATCCTCTGTCACAGAGACTCTTCTCATGTCACAGAGACTCTCCTCATGTCACAACTCATCACACTGCACAGGACCAACTCTTCTTGTCAGCCCCCCAAGTGTTAGAGCATCTCCACCGCGGTCCCTAAATCGGGTCCTTATCCCGCATTTAGGGACCGCGGCCCAAAAAACGCCACCCACCGCGGTCCCCATCGGCGTCCGTATTATACGGATTTCGTCCTCGGTCCCTCTCCAGACCCTGGATCCAGGGATTGGATAGGGACCAAGGACTGTACACATCAATGTGAATGTCACACGACATCACACCTCAACCTAGTGTGACAGCCTGTCAACACTACACCGATACCGGTGATTTAAGGACTGCCCGGTGTGGCAGAACAGGGTTCCGAGTCCCTAAACACATTTCCGAGTCCGTATTTTCGATTGATAGGGACCCGAAAATACGGACCGCGGTGGAGATGCTCTTAGACCATCTCCACCGCGGGGTCTAAGACCATCTCCACCGCGGTCCCTAAATTGGGTCCCTATCCCGCATTTAAGGACCGCGGCCCAAAAAACGCCGCCCACCGCGGTCCCCATCGTCGTCCGTATTTTACGGATTTCATCCTCGGTCCCTCTCCAGACCCTGGATCCAGGGATTGGATAGGGACCATGGATTGAACACCTCAATGTGAATGTCACACGACATTGCACTTCAAACTAGTGTGACAGCCTGTCAACACTACACCGATACCGGTGATTTGAGGACTACCCGGTGTGGCAGAACAGGGTTCCGAGTCCCTATACACATTCCGGGGTCCGTATTTTTGATCGATAGGGACCCGAAAATACGGACCGCGGTGGAGATGGTCTAAATCGCGGGACTAACCCAAATTTAGGCACCCGGACCGGATTTAGCCCCGCCACCGCAGGCCCCAAAGGGCGACCTAAACTGAGAAAATCCCTCTCGGGACCTACACTATTCCTAGACTCAAGATTGTGTACTCCTCCGATAGGTCCGCTCCATCTGGATATCACAGCCCATTGCTGTGATACTTCACACTACCCTTCCTGCCCACAACCCCCGATATCCCCAACACATACACCACCGATATTGCCAACACATACACCACCGATCACCGATATCGCCAACACATACATACCAAACGACAGCGATGGCCAGAAAGCGAATTCAAAATGTTGATCCATCTCTAGATGACAATGATGACGAAGAGAACAACGAAAACAGTGAGTTTTTTTCTTTTCACTTGTTCATTTTCTGGCCCACTAACCTATCTGGCTCCCAAATGAATCCCAATCAAATCATCCAGCCAAAAAAAAGAAGGCTCCCAATTATACCGAACCCGAGGACTTCGAGGTATGTCGAGCCTGGGTTCAGGTATCTGAAGACCCCCTGGTTGGAACAAATCAAGATGGCAACACGTTCTGGTCTCGCGTTTCCACGTTATATCACGAAGCGGTTCCAGACCCAATTCGACCTGTCAATAGCTTGAAGAAGAGATGGAGCAACTACTTACAACCATCGATCAATAAATTTCGTGGTTTTGTCAACCTTGTCGAATCTCGCAACGAGAGCGGGGCATCTGCAGAAGATCAGCTCAACCGAGCTCTCCGCCTTTACTCGCAGGACCAGCAATCTCATTTCAAGTATCTCCGCTGCTACAACCTCCTCGCCAAAAGTCCCAAATGGCACAACTACTGCCGCGATAACGATAAGAGGGGAGAGAAAAAACGAGCCAGAAGCCCTAGTAGTGAAGCACCAGCATTGACCAGACTTGCATCGACACCAGCACAATCCGATCCTGCTGCACCATCGGACCCTGTCTCCGATTTTGAGGGCACTTCTACCGATCCAAAAAAACTCGACCGACCTATAGGAAATAAGAAGGCCAAGTTTCTCAACCAACTCGCTGTAAAAGATCTAGAGTGGAAGGAAGATGTTGCAAGCGCTCACAAGAAACTTGCTACCGAATCGACTCGACTAAACGACATCTTCGCAAATGACTCGCAATCCCTCAAATCGATGGCTGACAATGGAGAAACCGCTGCGGAGCTCACCATCATGACCCAGAGCCTCAATGGTCTTGATGGTGAGCAGCAGGAGTACTTTAAGCTCAAGAGGGCTCAAATCCTCCAATCCCTTCGATCTGGCTCCACCTCAAACCAGTAGTTGTATTATTGTTTTTTTTTTTTTATTCTTGCTTGATTGATACACAATTTTTTGTTATCAGCAATTCAAACAGATTGTTTTTTGTTATCTATCTCAATTGTTCATGTGATTGCGATCCCTTTCAATAAAATGCAATTTTCTGTTTTGAACTGCCTCCCGCTTTCAGATTTAATCTAATCGATTATTTATTTGAAAGATACAACTATTTTCCTAAGAAAAAAAAACAATGAATCAGTCGATTGTGTCAGAGAGCATCGAATCCACTCTTCGATCTAGTTCCAAACGGTGTGGCCTGGTCTTATCTCTAAAGCTCTCAAGATCAATAAAATCAAAATATTCTATAAGTCAAGACATAGTCTTGTTGTTATCTCTCAAGGTCAATAGGTTTAATATGGGATTTCAGTTGATAATCAGAATGAAAGAATGAAACAAACATGTGAGCACAGCTAGCAAAATACTGATGATAAACTACGTGTACAATTAAGAATCAACATCACTGTCTTCCTGGCGACCTTTAATCTCCCACTGATGTTTGATGAGATCGGCGCGCAACTGAAAATGAGTACCAGTGTCTTTCATTGATTGATAGTTGTCAATAAAATCAGCAAAAGAAATCGGTGGTTTATTGCGCGATATTTCTATGGGTGTAATGATGGCTGCAGGGGCGTGGTCGTATGTATATTCCAAGTATGAATCCCGTTCATCCTCCACAATCATGTTGTGGAGGATAATACATGCCTTCATGATATAATTCAGATTGTGATGCTTCCAGCCTTGGGCCGGTCGAGAAACTACCGCAAATCTGGCTTGAAGTACACCAAAAGCACGCTCCACGTCCTTCCGTCGGGCCTCTTGCATCTTGACAAAGTGCCTCTGCTCCGCTCCTTGAGGCTGCGACATCGATTTGACAAAGGTCGCCCAATCGGGATAGATTCCGTCGGTAAGATAGTACCCTTGCTGATAGTCATGCCCGTTGATCGTGTATTCACATCGTGGTGCCTGACCATTCAATAGATTTGCGAAGAGAGGTGAAGTGTCGAGTACGTTTATGTCGTTGTGTGAACCAGGCATGCCAAAGTAGGCATGCCAGATCCACATATCTTGGGATGCTACAGCTTCGAGAATGACGGTTGGCCTCTGGAAAGCATCACAAAGCAAGTCTTAGTGAGAGAATCAGAGATAGATTAGAGCGTCTACATAAAAAATACCTTTTCTTTGCCTTGGAACTGTCCAGCCCAACCAGATGGGCAGTTCTTCCACACCCAGTGCATACAATCGAGCGATCCGAGCATCCCGGGGAATCCTCTTTTGGCACCCTGGGTGAGAAGCCTTTCAAGATCGGCTGGGGTTGGGTGTCGAAGGTATTCGGCTGAGTAGATAGCCACAATTGCCTTGCAAAATCGATCCATACACTCAAGCGATGTTGATTCGGAAAGCTGAAGGTACTCGTCGTTGCAGTCGGCAGCAGCTCCGTAGGCAAGCATTTGCAAAGCCGCAGTGATTTTCACAAGGGGCCTCAGGCCTAATTTTCCCAACGCATCTCGTCTGAGAGTAAAGTATTCATCAAATTCTTGAACAGCTTCGGCAATTTTCAGGAAGAGTGGCCGCCCCATTCGAAAACGGCGCCTGAAAGTCTGTTCGTTGTAGAGAGGATGAGCACCAAAGTAATGTTCAAGAAGTCTTTGGTAACTTCCTTCAAAGTCGCGGGGCAGGTTGGGCTGTTTCCCAGGTCTTGATCCACCAGGATGGCTAGAATCCATAACGTTCGTTGCTTCATCGTCCTCAAGTAACATTGGTGTGATTTGAAGAGCTTGGTTGATTATTGTTCTGGATCTTGAAATGATTTGCCTTCGTCGGAGTAGTATCCTCAATAAGTCACGGTTGATTTCCATTGTTGGTCGTTTGGAAGAATTGTTGTGGCCGATTTCGTTGTTGTGGCTGATTTCGTTGTTGTGGCTGATTTCGTGATCACACCTGGATGATGGGGGGCCCGGGAGGGTGGTGTAATCGAGGGGGAGTCGGGGAATGCCCTTTCACACTCCTCAGGTGCTATATTTAGGACCTTGCGGTGTGAAGGCATCTCTAGGTGGGGACCTAAAAATGCGCCGCAGTCGCGCGAGTTTGAGATTTGGGCACTCAGATAGTCTAACGCGGTGGAGATGGTCTTAATTCTTGTGAAGTTGAGCAACACGACCATGGTCTTAACTGGACATATCAGGCATACAAAGATCAATCAGGAGTCCTTCTTCAAGTCCAGATGCTGCCTCAGCCTCTCGCATCCGTCTGCGGACCTCCGAACTCGACAAGTCAGTCGAGTGGAGTGTCAGAGCCAGTCTCTTGACCATCAAGTATTCAACTTGACTGATCGAATGCTGTATTTATGTTGCAACGACAGCAGATCCCGTGTATCAGTCGACATGTTTGATCGCTTTCAACATGTTTAGAGTCAGACCTTCCCCGCTGGAATCCTGAAACCTCGCAGAAACATCAGAAATATCTAAAGACTATGTAGGATGGCTCAGAGGGCACCCGCAATATACAAGCATGTATTCACAACCCACCAGAGCCCCAAGAAATCTCATCAACGTTTCCTTGAAAACCAATCACAAGCAGGGCTAGTCGAGCAAGCTCACAAGATACCACACATTCCTTCAGAAACGACTCCCAAACCTTAGCAAGAGCCAAAGGCATTATTCATAAACTATTTATCATCTTATCAAGATCCAGAGAGAAAAAGAAGGCCTAGAAACAAATTGAAAATTCACAGGTTTTTCGCTACAGGAGAGAGGCTTCAACGCCAGCGACGGTCTCGAATCACACGGAGGGCTCATCAATTCCACTAGCCGGGATGATCAGCCTCCTTCTTATTATGTTGATCAGCTCATGGACGCCAGCAGGTTCCATGTCTGACCACAGGCGGCGGGATTTGGCCATTGAGGCAAGCCCTTCTGGAGGCTACGAGCCCATCGTGGTGCGGTGCCCGGCCAATTTCACCATCCGAGTGGCTGGGACTGATTCCGTATGTGTGCTTCTTCGAGCTAAGAGAGCTCATGTTCATCAATGCCCAAAGAAAGCCCATTCTGAATCTAATTTCTTGCCGCATTTCGCGATTTGAAGGACTTCTTGGGCCAAAAGGAGGCCGACTACATCGCCCAGAAGGCCGCCAAATCGACGGACCTATGGCAAACATATCTGGCTGGGGTCGGCCTAGCCGACTTCGACCTCGCAAACTTCACCACCTCAAACCCTGTCGCCGGAGAGACCGTCCCAAACATCGGGATAGCCATGAGTGGCGGCGGGATCAGAGCGCTCATCGGCGGCGCTGGAATACTGGACGCATTCGATAACCGGAACCCGGAGGCGGTGAATGCTGGCACCGGAGGGATCCTCCAACTCGCAAATTACATCACTGGATTGTCTGGGTGAGTTTGAATCCAAGCGCGGGGCTCTAAAGTGGATAAATAATTCAAAGCTATTCAGGAATCACGCATGTTTATGCTGATCTTCACTTCATTGGATTATAAGTGGTTCATGGCTACTAGGTTCCTGGTTCGTCGGCTTGACTTCAATATGAAAAGCCATTCTTGCTACTCCAAAATATGACGATTCACTCGAAATGAAGATTCATCGATGGCTCTTGCAACAAGCACTGACTTAGACTACTTGAATATATACAGGGCAACCAGCAACTTCCCGAGATTCACCGCACTAAATCAAACGGTTTGGAGGCTGACAGAGCCAAGTAGTTATACCAGTTGGAACTCAGTTAAAAGATATCCCAAAGCCATCTCACAAGCCAAGAGGAAGTCAAAGTCTGGCTTCCCGACCAGTCTAGTAGAGTTCAGTTTTGTCCCTTTTGTCACCACTGCTTTCTTCCCTAAAGTACAACCATTCACTTTTTTGACAGCTCTTTCTAACAAGCCAAATGTGTTTATTTGGATCTGCTTCCTCAGTGTGCAATCTTATATCTTATCACGGCATTTGATGTAAGCTTCCGACCCAATAAGGGCCCATAATTTGATTCATAACAAACTTATTCTAACCCACAATTTCATCTATCCATTTCTTTCCCCTTCTGCAAGAAATGACACCCACCATGGCTCGAAAGTTCTCTTCTCGTCGATTCGTAATACGACTGAATACCTGAACCGCCAAGCTCCGTTTCCCATCTTACTTTGTACATCCAGGTAAGTTTCCTTTTGGGAATTCTCATTCACATTATCTTAGACATGATTTCGTGTTCCTGAAAAACAAATTCAATTAACTCAAACCAGGGTCAACGGCGTGTCTGAAATCAACTCCGATACGCCAATCTGTAAGTATGCATCATCAAGATGAAATCTAAACAGAAATAAAAACAATTCATCAAGAATCCCCTGAGGCTCACATGTTTTTCTTTTTTTTTTGCTTCAATTAGACGAGTTTAATCCTGAGGAGTTTGGAGTATGTCATCCAACACTGAAAGCGTTTATTCCGCTCGAAGATCTGGGCTCACGGATGGAAGCCGGGAAGCCAGCTAGGGAGGATTCTTGTGTCCAAGGTACTTAGACGGCAACTCGATAAACCGATGCATGAACATGAAGTCAACGAGATTAACATGCTTATCAATCTCTCTTTTTTGTTTGGTGTCTGTTCATTGAGGCTTTGACAATGCTGGATTCGTCATTGGTGAGGAGACCTTCTGCAAATGCTCCTTAATTAGTTTCTCATTTTGCTATATATATTATTCGAGATTGCGTAGGTGCTAGTAGCAATGTTCTGAGCCAGCCTGGATTTCGTAAATTTTCCTGGAAAAATATCTTACCCGAGGCGTATGACAAGATCACGAATCACATCTATGATGAAGCAATTGTACGTCCAGCTCACCTACCGCAAAGAGCAGCCCATCCTCAGCTGCCCCCGTTCTCTGACACCTCACGCTCTCAACCTTTGGTATATTTGCCTCCCCTTATGTAGGTCCCTGTAAGCAGATTGCTCCACAAAATCGTCTTCCTGTTCCTTCGCCCGAAATCGGCCGTACTCAAGCAAAAATGAAAATAAAATCACAAACAGAATCCTTTCTATCATATGGGGATGGGCCCAATAAATGGCTCTGGCTACCCGGAACGTGAAAGTAAGAATCTTTATCTCGCAGACGGGGGATGGGGTGGTGAGATTTTACCATTCTGGCCGCTCCTGCAGCCTGATCGGAAACTGGACGCAATCATCGCCATAGACTTCGTAAGCCTTTCTCGATCCCTATTCCTTCTTCCTTTTTTTTGTCTTTTTTTTATAAATCAAACAAGTTGTAGTTGACTCGACGTCAAGTGAATTGAACAAGAGAGTGCTGATGGGCCCAGTATGTATCACGGTGCATGTGAGTTACATCTCAATCAGTATGTTAAGTAACTACTGATTAGCTGACTGAGCTTTGTACTTAGATCCTAATGGGACAAGTCTCTTCAACACCTACAAGAAGACCCAAGAAGACGCGTACAAAAACATACATTTTCCAAAGTAAGTCCAAGAGGATCCCCACCGAAACTGTCTGGGCTTCGCTAAGCTTTCCGTGTTGGCTCCTATAGAATTCCTGAAATCGATGGCCCGTTCACGGAGAAAGGCTTGGCTAAAAAACCCTCCTTCTTTGGATGCCATGATCAATTGGCCCCTATCGTCATTTACCTGCCTAATTATTTCGTCGTCACAGACACAAACCAAGCAACGATGAAAGCCGAATACAGTGTATGCCTATTTTAATCACCCATCATCCCAAAGTTTTACATGAGGAAAGCATTTTCAGTCATCTGAAAGCATTGATTTTCTTTTTCTTCAATGAATTGATGACTTCACAATCAAAGCAAGGAGAAATTGATGCATTTTTCAAAAATTCATTTGGTAAGTCCTCACTTTCGGGTATATTTGATTTCCAGAGAAGAAAAAAAATACATCACCAAGAAACATTCGAGGAGATTTAGAAGAATTAACGACATGGAATTCTGACCCTTGACCAAATAAGCCATTGCGACACAAACGAGACCAGGAAAGGAATCCAACAGTTTTCAATACGACAATGATTCAATTCAGACACTCTTAGGAAGAGCTGGGCCGATCACGCATACCCGATGGAAGGAGTGTCTGGCATGTGCTTTGGTCGATCGACAAGTAACCCGGAATAAGATGCAACGAAGTCCCCAGTGCCAGCGTTGCTTTGCCAAGTATTGCGCCTAAGAACCACGCCTTTTCTCCCTGGAACGCCAATCCATGTATATATCATGGCTCCGTTCAGTCCTGCAAAACGTGGTGGCCATCAGGCTCTCTCAATTTTCAAACAATCTTTGTAATTTTTTGGTCTTGTTGAAATATCCCTGCCCCCGGGATGGATCACTTGAGTAGATGGATTATCTTTCTGTTTGTATCAAACCTTTCTATCACAGCATACATTTCATTAATTTTGTCAATTATACCATGTGACAAGAAGGACATAGGAATGAAAATCAACCATTCAACTCCATGATGCATTTCTAGTTTGGGTCGGCGATCATCAAGCAAAGTACTGATCAACCAGAGGTAACACAAAACCCAGATGTCCACATTTGCATCATTTTTTGGCCATCTTGACCCTCTTGTTGGCCTATGAGCAGGCTGCTTGACCGCTAGCCTGGCAGCCCATCGGACCGCCTCTGGACAGACCGTATCCGTCTTCTTGCCGGCACGGATTTGGGTCGGGCAGCAATTTTTGAAGGTTTGATCCCGCACTGGTCTGTCCAGTATCCCTGCAGTGGCAGCGGGTTGCGCCCGGCTAACACGGGTACGGCACGAACCGCCCGATTATCATCCTTGGATTGTCGTGAGATGGCTGGTCAGTCTCTGAGATGTACTCGGAAAGCACTGGCGCACACTCAGTGCCCTGGGTCCGGACAATTTACAAAGAGTCCTTTCTCTTAAAACAGTTTCTCGGGACAGATACACAGTCGGCACAGCTGCCCTCATACCCCAGAACAAAAGCGGCAATTTCCACTGCGCAACGTCCTTAAAATATCCGTCTTCAAATGCGTCATCTGGTTATTGGTAGGACTTTTTTCATACATACCATTGCCAAAAGTCAAAAATAATTTTCTTTGCTCAAAAAGCACGAAAAGTAAATGCTTTTCTCCACACAAGCAGCTGGTGGTCTCACTGCTGGTGCTCAGCTTGGTCGAGGCAGGGGAGACATAAGAGGCCAAGTCAGCACACCTCATGGCTCTCATCATCATTGTGGCAGATCCCAGTACGACCAAAAAGCGCCACTTCTTTCTCTATCCCTCTTCAGGCTCACGAAAAACTCTCGATCAAGCAAAAAAAAAAACTTAGATATCGCAAAATGGACCATCACACAATCCATAGTGACGTTACTGGTGAAACTGTCGGAGAGGGCTTTGATGTCCCCGACGCTGTTCCAGAATTCCCTTCTCACGAGGGACCACTATTTCAACAAAACACCGCCGAGCATGCCGAGCGGAACGGCGCAGCCTCCCGGTCCCGCTTTGCCGAACATATGAGACAGCCGCTGCCCTTTCCATCACTCCCGGTGCAGGTTCCTGATGACACTAATGCAGTCCATGGCAGCGGTCCCAGGGACCCAGATGGACCGACCGTTGGCCCACTCGAAAGCAATGCCGCCACGGCCCGTCACGAAACAGGAGATAACATCGTTGAACCTGGACAGGAATCGTTCAATCAGCAGGCATCAGCACCTGAACAGCCCGCCCAACTCCGGCTACCCGACTTTGGAAACTTGGATCCGATCCAGGAAGTTCTCGAGTCTCTCATCCCTGAGCAGCAAGCCATTCTCCAAGGTTTCTTCACCAACATGAACAACGCCTTCCTCGAGCTCGCCAACGACCCTCACCGGCCCCCCTTTACCGCTGAAGAGATCCTCCAACATTTTGGTGATGTCCAAGAGGTTGATGACACTATGGAGGGCCTGGACTCATTCAACCGCGCCCGCCTTGAAGAATTCATCTCCGACTTGGAGGGAGCATTGATTCGGTTGAATTCACAACCACGTCGTTCCCCAGAGAGGGTCCAACAAGTCTCTGACCTCTTGGACCGTCTGAGCAGTGATCCTATTGCCTCTTCTTTATCATCTGATAACTTTGACAATGATTCGTCCAAATGCTCAATTTGTCTGGCTTATTATGTCCCAGGGGATCTCAACGTCATTCTCCCATGTCATTCTTCCCACCAATTCCACCGCAACTGCATTGAAGTAGGCTTTTTTTTCCTTTCTGAATCTAACCGAAAAATAACCGCTAACTTATTTCTATCTCTTGCCTTTAAATTGCTTCAGAATTGGTTCCTTGACCACCTCAGCTGTCCATTCTGCCGAATGCCCATTAACCTTGCCCACGTAGGCAGCGCAACGAGTTGAACTGCTGCCTCAATGATTCCAATCCTCAGGGTAAACTTCTCTAATTTTTGGAGTAGAATTTGTACTTCTACTTGTATTTCTTGGACTTTTTGTAATCTTAATATCCCGATGAAACTAAAATACCGAGACTCAAAATCTTCTCAAAAAGCTAGCATCTCTTCTTGAGTTGAATTTGCTTACCGGCGTCAAGCTGAAGCTGATTTTCATAAGTAGACATTTCCTCCGGAAACCTGTGAGAAACTACCATTGAGTAATCACATTGGAGCCAGTCCTCTCCCCCAGTCTCTGAACAGTCTCCCAAAATAAAACATCCCAGTAGCCACTGGTTTTGAAATCAAATTTATTGTCATTGAGCTGCAAGCCATGTATGGGTGAAAAGAGCTCTTACTGGGATGGATACAAGCTGCCACTTGGCATATTTGCATGTTCAAATCCCACACAAGGAAAAACAACAATGAAAGACATTGAATGATTAGTAAAATAAAACTGTCACTAGTTCTATGCCAATCTTCCGCTCACATAGCTCTAGTAGGACAACAATATGTTTTTGACACTATGTGGTAGATTTTCAATTCAAAATAACGCAAACCTAGGGCACAGCTGCAATCCAAGTAAAATTAGTTGTAAAGAGGAAGTAGAAATAGAGGAAAATTGTGTATAGATAGTGGTAAGCTCTTGAATTTTGTTTCAATATTAGGTTCAATCTTCTCCTTGTTGAGTACGTTTGATGCGCCGTTTTAAACTCCCAGAAATGATCTCATAGTTCGAATAGTATACCATCCAGTCCATCGTAGCCATCACATTGGTAAAGTGGTCACTGCTGCCGTAACCTTTAACACCTTTGCCATTTTTTTTCGCCCAATATCCAACAAAATTGAACGCCATCCGGTAAACATCCTCGGGATTCCGTATGAAATCCACATGGAGTCTGTGAGGATTTTCTAAGGTCAACAAAGACCAGTTTCGTTTGGCCCAAGGGTATTTCTCAATCAAGCTTGACTGGCCACTTTCGAGTTTCAACCAAAGATTTTGGAAAAAACCCAAAATTTTCCGAATGGCTTGGGGTGTCAAGAATTCCTGATCATGTTCCTTGAATAGAGACAGATGGACAATGACCATGAATGTGGCGATTTGAGTCGATTCTTTCACATATTTAATGATTTTCTTGATCTTCTTTTCGTGAATAAATCTGCTCCGATCCCCTGTTTTGATATTGGTCGGTAATCGTTTTTTCTGTGCCTTCAATTGGTTGAGGTTTCGCATCTTCAATTCTAGTTTGTTTTCCAAATTCCCCACAATATCCAAATAGAAACTAGGATAACTATCAAGAACGAGCTTTCTTTCCGAAAGCATCAAGTAAACACCGTACATCACTGCTTGTGTGGCCTTTTTATCTTGACTAAAGGGGTCGAATTCTAAAGGGAATTTTAATTTCGGTATGGCCTTTTGAAATGCGTTAAATCTTCTTTTTAAATCAAATCTTTCAATCCAAAAGTAATTCTTTCCTTCCTCTCCATCAGAACTCATCAAAATTTTGAACAGCTCTTGCGGGAAGCAATTTCTTAAAGGTTCTTCATCTGTACGTTTTCTCTGTGGCACTAATTTCAAGAAACTCCAATCCTGTAAATCAAAACTTTCGGATGCTTCCTTTGATAATTTTGGAAGGTTACTATCCAGGTTCTCTTGAGCGATTGGTTCTTTTATTTTGCGTGCTAGGTTGTCCATAATTTTCTCAAAGGAGGATGGTGAATGCTCCGAATTTGATGCTCCAACATCACTATCCGAGCTTTCTTCAGCCGTTACGAGACGATTTTGAGTTCTCATTTTTGAGAGGCGTCTCTTTTCTCTTGGGTCCAACTGTGGGTATAAATCCTTATGTCTGCGCTTGCCGACATCAGACAAGTTGAGGTTCTTCAAACCAGTTTTGCGCCGTTTGTCAGTGCTAAATGGAATAAACCTGATTGTAACCATTTCGTCACTGTTGCCGGTATCAGAGGACGTGTAGCCAGAGGAAGCATCGTCAGACATAGCATGGTCAGACGAAGCATGGTCAGACGAAGCATGGTCAGACGAAGCATGGTCAGACGAAGCATGGGCAGACGAAGCATGGCCAGGCGAAGTGTAGCCAGACAAGGTATGGTCAGACGGTGTAAGGCTAGCGAGAAGTTTCCTGCGCTTGGCAGCACGTGGTAAATAATCTCTGGTGCGACCTGGTAGCTGACCCACAGGATTTTGCAAAAGAGTGGCAGAGGGAGTGGCAATCGTCGGCGAGAGTGGGGAAGATGAGGTTCCTTGTGAGGGAGTGGCAATCGTCGGCGAAAGTGAGGAAGATGCGCCTCCTTGTGAGGGAGTGGCAATCGTCGGCAAAAGTGAGGAAGATGCGGTTCTTTGTGAGGGCGGAAGATCCTCCATTGGACATTCATCGACTGGAGGTTCGTTCAAATCAAACCAAGGGGCCGGGCGGTCGTTCGCACCTTGCGATGAAACTGGAGGGCCATTCAAATCAGGCAGCGTGAAGAGTTCTGCCGATTTTCCTTCATGTGGAAGTCCAGTTGACAGGCTGAGCAGGGCTGGGTCGATAAGGAGGAGCGTTGAGTAAAGAGTTACAAGAAACCACCCCATCTTAGAATTGCTGCTTAAGCCCAAATCGACAATCAGGCTGATTAGGCTGATTAGACTCAAATGGATGTTGAGCTGCCCAAGTCGGGACTGCTCAAGATGTTTATCTTGATTCTTCGGTCATCATGCGTGATCTGATGCTCAACCAAACTCGCGTCTCGGCTGCACAACCTGAGGCGTGTGTTTAATGCCATGGGGCCTCCGACAGGGGACATGGTCCTCTGAGTGTATCAGCTCCCATAATACAGACATTAAGGCGAATATTCACTTGACTGTGGGCCTCTGTGCAGTGTGGGCTTTGCCTTTCCATTGGTCTAAAACACAAACCATTTGTTGAAACCTTTGCCTGTGGGTACTTCAACTTGGGTGGATAATTAAGTTACCCCGGACCGATCCCGCTGGCTTAAATTGAATAAACGGACTGGCATTAGTAGGACTTGGTTCAAATTGAACCTTCACTTGCTGTAACTGGAATCTCATGCACTTTTCCGGGTGAAGATGGGGAGTAATACAGAAAAGTCTTGCTGGCAACATTGATCAAGCATTACTGTGATCTCCATCAAAATTTATCTTTTATCTTTTGGAAAGCAAGTTTGAAAGGGGAACAACAAAGGTATCTGGGAAAGGACAATTAATTCATCCTGTAACTGAAAAAGAGATAAAATGACAAGCAAAAAAAATGCAAAGATTAGCATTTGTCATAATAAACTAAAGGGGTTTCTTGGATTGAAAAAAGGTCTTTTTGGAGTCAAATACCACATCTTAGCACTCAGGATTGGAGCAGACAAAGTCTGGGGTCTTGGGCTTGGGTCCAACTCCCATAACCTCAATTTTATTGGTGGAACTTTGGGGATTCAAAATCATGTGTCAAAAACACCACAACATCAACTGGTCTTTGGTATTTAAAATGGAACTATGATTGTTAAATATTCAAGAAATTCTGAGCCTGAATAATGTCGATTGATTCTTGGTAAACTAAAACCCCCTGGGTCTTGAATTGTCATTTTTCAAGCCACAATAGTTTGCTCATGATCTCTTAGTTTTATCCAAAGACGGAAAATGAAATAATAAAAAATGTAAATTAAGGCTTTTGTTTGGAAAATGTGATTATTCTAAGCTCCACAATACCAGACATTCATCCAGTGATCATCTGCAACAAAAGGAAATACATTAAAGAATTTGAATTATGTTCTCCAGAAAGGAAAAGAAAAATCAATATGAAATTCTTGATGGTCATGGTATGAACATTACTTGGCTTTCTTTTGATTTTGTTTGATTGTATGCATCTTTCTTGCAACGATTTCATAGTTTGCATAATGAATGATTTTGTTACCCAATTTGATGACAATGTTTCGATGATTCTGCCGCTTTTTGAAGCTACCCCCGACAGTTTTCCCATTTGCTTCGGCCCAATACCCAGCAAAGTTCCAGGCCATCTGGTACATTTGACGAGCTTTATATCTAGATGAGATGTTCAGCTCTTCTGGATTCTGCAAGCTCAAGATAGCTGCGTTTTTCTTTGCCCATCCATATTTGCCAATCAATTCTTCCTGAAAATTTTCGGTATCAATCCACATCTTTCGGAAGAAATTCAAAATTTCATCAACTACTGCAGTTGTTAAGACATCCTGTTCATGTTCCCCGAATAACGAAAGCTGAATGATGACCAAGAATGTTGCAATTTTGGTTGTATTTTTCACATAGTCGATGATTGACCTGGTTAGCCTTTGTGCAATACCTTTGACTCGAGATGGTCTTTTGGATTCGGCAGTTCTGAATGATAGTTCCGAGTTCGACCTCAAGATGCTCAGTTTTTTCCTCTTCGGTTCGAGGGTTTCTGTGAAATAATCCACGATACCCTGCGAGAAGATGCGATTGTCTTCAAGCTTGAGTTTCGTGTCCGACAGACTCAAAACGATGTCAAATAGCACTGCTTGTCTGATTCCTGGATCTTGATCGTAATTCTTATCGAATTCTGAAGGAGAAGCGATTCCCAGCTTAATCTTGAGATATCTGCGGGACATTGATTGTGCCTTATTTTTATCCTTGCCATCCTCCCCTTTGAGGTCAATTTGGCACTTTTGCAAAGTTTCAAAGAACTTTCCCAGGGCAAAACGAGTTGGCGAGCTTTCATGATCCTCATTTGTATCCGTAAGTTCTGGTGGCAATCGCACATAATTCCAATCCTTAAGATCGAAAAGTATTTCTCTGTGTGATTTTTGGCCGTCACCAATCAGGTCTTGAGCTGCAGGTGTCTCAGGTGTTTCTTGGGCTAATTGATTGTTCGTGACTTCTTCCAGATTGGCTATAGACTCTGTTGGCCGTTTTCTCTTTCGATCATTGTAAGCAAAGCCTCCTGGGTTGTTGACGAGAGAAGTTTTAACGCTTAGGTTCGTTGAAGTTTCTGTTTTTCTTCTTTTCGAGACGATATCATCGTGATTGCGCTCACCGGTACCAGAAGACGCTTGAGTAACGGAACCTTTTTTGGGCTGACTGCCAGGCGAAGTTTCGATGGCGGGATGATTTATACGCTTGCTGTTGTCGAGCAAAGCGTGACTAACGAGGATGGCTTGCTGGTTCACCCGAGTTCCCCTCAGAATGGAAGTCGTGGCCGAAAGTGAGGAAAACGCGACTTCTCCGGATGGGTTGATTATACGAGGCTCCGCTAAACTGTCGTCTATCGGAGGGCTGTTCAAATCAGGCGTTTCATCGATTGGAGGTCCGTTCAAATCCGGTAATAAGAACGAGCTCGACTCTCCCTCTCGCGTAATTTCAATCGGCAAGCTGAGCAAGGCTGGAGCAGTCAAGCAAAGCGTCGTGTAAAGAGTGATACTAATCCACCGCATGCTGGAGTTGTACACGGCAGACTTGAAGGGGCTACAAAACGTAGTCTTTGAGAAAGCCAGATGTGAACAGCGTGGCGTTACACCCATAAAAGGGCTGGCATGAGCTATCCCAAACTTGTGTCAAGTCAAGGAAGTAAGGCCGCCTTGCGCCGGGAGCATAATGAAGCCGGGCTCCTCCGGCGGAAGAGAGGACAAGGGCTAATGGGATGGAAATCAGCCTGGGCCCCTGGAAAACTGTTATCCATCTTTCGCATCATTCATCTGACTTGACTGATTCCCTCGGGCGGTTTCAGTGGTGCCATAACCAATGTTGCAGACCAAGAAGCACAGACACTTTCTGGCGGAATCCCATCATATTCACCGGGAAACGGACGTGGAATGACCAGAATTCGTACCACTCGAAGCAAAGAAGGGCAGTCTTGAGTGCAGTGTGCACCACGAAGTGGGAATTGAAACACACGTTTCAGGTTTTCTAAGAACGATAAATATGCATGCACACAACTAAAACAGCAGACGATTAGCTCAACGTTTTTGGAGGAAACGGGCCGATGTATGTACGTAAATCAGATTACAAGAGTGATTAATAGTAGTAATTATTCCACAACTCATGAGGAAGAACCTTCCTCATAATCTCCCAATGAAAGAGCGCGTCATGAACCTGAGCGCGATCGAGCTGCGCCTTGTTTAGGTCTGTCAAAATGAGCGATTCACTCGGGAGGCTTCCTTGGTCTTGGTTTTCTTGACGAAGCCGATCAGGTGAAAGTCTTCCAAGATCGATCTCGTGTTTTTCAAATGAATTGAGAACTTGAGATTGATGTGCACTCGGTTCAAATCCTTCAATTTCGATTGGTTTTTTGAATCTGGGTTTGCCGGCGGGTGAACAGAATATGACCTGTGATGATGGTTAAAAGCAAGCATACATTTAAGATCAAACGCTTAAACTTGAAAAGGCGGTACTTTACGGACCATGTTTTGATAGTCGGAGTCGGATATCGGCCCGCCAGAATCTTCAGAAAAAGCGCGACAGAATCGAAATATTTCAAACAAGGTCGTCAAGACAAGTGAAGCAGCCTTGGAGAAGGGTCGGCCGACGAAGTTCTAGCAGGAGAATGAGCAAAAAGCGTTGGCCAAATCAGCTTCAAAGCTCAGTAGATTGCCATCTGAACGAGAAATTTGATGCCCATCGAGCTCACCACGGCCAGCACTCCGTCGTCCTTTAACCTTGCTCGAATTGCCTGCCAGCATTCTAACGTGAATAGAGAGGATGGGACCGAACCGCCCGTGAAGACATCATGTATGACATAATCGAAATCTCCCCCCTCCCTTCTGTCTTGTCGATCAAGGTAGATCCTGGCGTCCTCAAGAAAGATCCCGCCATCTGGCGTGGGAAAACCAAAGTACGTTTGAGCGTATTCGTATACCATGGGATCGATTTCCACGACTGTTGTGACCACTCCGTCTTTCATCAGAACACGAGCTGAAACGCCAACGCCCATTCCCCTGAATTGGGTTTAGAGACTGATCAGCATGGAAATGGTCGAAATTTAGAGGAAGTTGGATGTAAAAAGATAGAAAAACAAGGCTCACAAAATAAGCGCCTTGGGTTTCCCTATGCTTGAATTGGTATTCTTATCAGATCTTTCAACTAGTCTGACTGCGCTTTGAAGAATAAACGTAGGGTAGATTGATTCAGCTTCCTTGACCGCTTGGATCTCAAGTTCATCTTTAGTCATAGTCCGTGTTGATTGAGAAGCAGAGCGTTTCAGGACATCCTGTCTAGCTAATCCTATCCATATCCCGCCGAGCAATGAGTGGTCACATCTCATGAACCTAAATTGTGAACCGGTCTCTTGAGTGAACTCTCCTACAAGAATCATTCCTGTTGATGAGAGTCTTCTAGCTAATGGAGAATAGTTGACATTGCTAGTCGGACTTGTCTTCCAACCATCAGACTCTCGGCATAGCTGTTTTGGGAATGGAAGCAGGACCGAGCTGATGATGCATATCAAAGCAATGCTCGCGTTGACTTTCTTGATAGTGAGGGATCGGTTTGGTTTTGATACTTCAATGAGCAACCCCATGACCACGATAGCCAGTAATAAGGCGGGAGTCAAGTCGAACTACGGACGTGCGGCAAAATTGCTACGAGTTGGTACTCTTGGAGCCACCGATGGAGTCTGATCTGAAAGCATGAGCTTACGATTCGACAGGGTGGAAGATGGCCTAGAACCCGGTTGGCCCATGGGATCATCGCTCGAGTTAAATAATGTACAGCCAGAGGAAGTGACGCTGAGCAAACGATCTCGATCATTTTGTCGTTTTGTGCGCTAAGTTGCGTTGCATATTGTTTTGTGAGGTTTATCTGGAAGAGTATCGTTTTTTGGAAGTCGTGTTAGCATGAGATCATCGAAGCGACGCGACATATGCTCAATGAAACTCACAGCAGCTGCTTGTCCAGCGGACATCCCAGTCAGCCTGATTGGCCAATAAGCGAAGAATTGAAAGACATGTGGACCCCGGGAAACACCGAGTCTGGCTGAATGCTTCGAGAGCAAGCGTCCGAAGGTGTCAGGGGCTCTCCAAACCAAGAAAGCTGCCAAAAAGCTGCTGGCCACTGTACTCGGGACCAGGGTCGGAAATAAGAAATTCGCAAGAGGGACGAGCAAGAAATCGATGATTTGGACCGATCGTTCGAAGTTATAATCTGATCCAACCGATCCAAAGAGTGGATGAAGTGCCAACTTGCAAGACGTTCGCGCAAGATCCAAGCCGAAGAGAGTAAGGATGATTCTAGAAATCGCCAAGATAGTTCCTGTCTGGGTGAGAGCCATCGAGGTGGACGTCGTTCCAGCGGTAACCGGTCGAACAGTTCTTCTCCCTGGTCGTTTCGCCATCAGGGGAATTCGCGCTTCGTTCCCTTCAGGAGAAAACGAGAACATCAACATCTAAATTTCATATAAATAGTACTAAATCTCATGTGACTCACCCCTCTTCGTTCCAGTATGCAGTGATCTTCGGCCCGTTGAGGGCGAGATTCAAACTCCTCGATCGCTTTCTGGCTGTTGTGACCCACTGGACAACTGAACGAGACCCTCCAGTAGTAGCGAGTGCTGGTGGTTGAGTTCAGGAATTCTCCCAACGATGTCCTTGATCACATCTTGACCATGGCGGCAGAAAACCTGCTTGTCCACACATCAAAGTAGCAAAACACCAACCAGATATGTATAACTCACAGGCAACAATTATACCTACTCGCCAAGAGCGATCCCTTCTTGGCAAGGCGTTGAAGCTTGTACTTCCCAAACAGGGATAAATTCTTCTTTGCTGTTAGGTACAGCCTTTACCTGCGGTGGGTCATGGGTACTCTGCTCAACATACTGGCACTTGAAACATAACTTCATATCCCGAACTGGATGTGCAGTAAAATAAACCTGGATATGTATTGTGTTTGTAAGAAAGCTTGGATCCGATCCCGTTTTGAAATTTTTGTAACCCTGGATACGTATGCATTTTGTATTTTTTTCTGGAGTATTTGCCATCAATAGACATGTCGCAAGACACATGAAAATCCCACAGACATCCACGTCATATGTCGTCTTTGCTAGCTTGCATGGTATTGCCGACCGCTCTCTCTCTGTGATTCATTATCTCACATCTCAAATTCCCTTTTGTCCTGGAATATACCTGACCCTCCTCCGTTTCAGGTTATTATTCTTTGTCGTGTCGATTGACTTCTTCTTGGTCCCTGTCCTTCAGTGCTTAATTTATTCCTGTTCGAAACGATGATCCCGATTGAAGATATCTCAACGATTTCATCACCTACCCCTGGCTCTGCTCTATCTTCCGAAGTCCCCAATAATGCCACTGGTTTGATTTCTGCTGCGGTGGATGATGGGGTTGGACCGGCTGTCAGAAAGGTTTGATCTATTCCTCTCTTCACTTGTCTGGAATTTGCTTATTGATTTTTTGATGTTTCTTGTTCCCAGGAATTCAATATAACCACCTCCCTCAAGCTATACGTTGCAAGCAAAAGCAAGCAGAAAAAGGAAAATTTGGGTCCAGGTCACGTCGAAAGACGATTTCATCGTCAAAGTAGTCCCGGGTAACACTGCCTACGATGAGTTCCAGGACTTGGTGGCTGCGGCTTGCGATGTACACGTCCCTAATACTGGTGATATCGTGGCCGAAAACAAACCGGACCTCAGCTGGAATGTGACAATTGGTCGAGTGAAGGGCTGGCTCAAAGGGGATGCGAAAACTCTTACCGATTCCAACTCGTACGAAGAATGGATTGCGGCAATGGTGGCTTCCAAGAAGAAGGACCTTGCAATTGGCTTGGCGCTCCGAATGGCCAACCCTGCTGACATAGTCAAACGCGGCAAGCAAGCGGATATCCTGGCAAAACGCGCTAAACTCAAGAAAGCTATCGAGCTCAAGAGGACTGCAAAACGTAAGGCGGGTGATATCGGCGACGAGGAGTTGAGCGATGATGAAGACGAAGAGATTGATCCAGAGGACTGGAACAATGTGGACTTCCACATGCGTTCCCTGTTCGACTCCAATCCAATCAACCGAGAATATGATGCGCATTGCCCGGTTTTTCTACACCCTACGGTCCCGGGTAGGTTCATCTTGTTGACGATGGAGGCATGCCAAGAATGGGCATTGGCAATTGTGAGTTTTGCTTTTGGTATTTGGCTTTGGGTGTATCGCCCACACTGATATCTTGGGTGTCTGTTCTTTGCATGCATGACCAGATGGACGATAAACAGCCAGCAGTGAATATGTTGAACCCCCCAAGGAAGCTTGTATGGGAAGATCTAGGCTCTCCGAGGAAGAAGAACAAGTCGATGCAAGTCTCCGAGCCGGCTGCAGAGGATAAGGCCTCTTGGTGTCGCATGATGGTCGAGGCATTTGTTGAGGTCGGTAAATCCCATGCGGCAAAAGATACTGATGCTCCGCCTGGCTTGGATGGCTTATCCTATCACCCCGAGGCTGATCCTCCTATTGGAGATTACTTGCGATTCCTGAACGTTCGGAACCTCGACCGAGTCCTGGAAGTGCTCACCGCCAACGACATACACACGCACAAGATGTTTCGCGCGGGGTCATCTCTGGGACGTCAAGAAGTACTAAGTCTAGGTCTGACATTTGGTGTTGTAACAGCCTTGTATGACAATGTGTGCAAGTATGAGCGATTTCTCATGAACAATGCATAGTTCTCTTTTACACCCCCCGCCGCCACCCACCCACCCACCTGTGGGCATCTTACTCTTTTTTGTTGATTATGCTCTCCTCTTGGTGATCCGGCCTATATCATGATTGTTAAGACACTTGTTTCTTATTGCTCGAGCTCACTTTGATGATGCTCTCGACGACAAGTCCCTGCTTGTATTCCTTATCTATCTCCAAGTTGTCTGCTTCCGATGGTCTGTCATTGTCAATGATGAGTCCTCCATGCCACATGATTTGTCAATATATCTCGATATTGGTAGCATGTGAAATATTATAAGCAAGTTTATCAGGTCAGGTCACGTGGGTCACACTCCGGTCAGGTGTACTGTGACCGTTTGCGAGCAGTCTCAGGTTGGCACATCAGATCAAATACTCTGAACAATCATGGATAACTTTGAATCAAGTGAGACAGATGGGATCAACAAAGGGAACAACCTGATCGCTTGTGCCACTTGGGCTCATATGTGTGGATAAAGTAGTAGTGAAAGAGGACATTTCAACTGTACGATACGCAAATAACTTGTAGGACATCAGACTGCAACTTTTACAAACAGGCTACTGGATTTCAGGTTGAAAGCAGAAACATCACACATCAGGGGTTTTTTTAAGGAACAGAGAGACTACCGTATTCAAGGGGTGGAAGAAGAGACATCTGAGATTTACCCCATGCGGAACTCGGTCCCTGGGATACTTTAGTACTTTCAAACCACCGGGGAAGGAGAGGGAGTCATCCCTCCAGTATAAGCTCCTTCGTTGTGATCGTACCTAGCGAGTCGGCCGGCTCCCTCAATGGCTCCCTCGATGAGCAAACGCGCGATGCCAATAGGGAATCCGAGCCCTATTAATTCATTCTCGGACGATGCTCTGAAGAATGACCAATGAACTATCCCGTGAGTCAACAATTGAGCGCGAGTGAGCTTGTCGTTCGGTGGAATGTGTGCAACATGGAGATAAGTCTCCATGTCATGGCTTTCTAACTCCGGCGACGCTGGAGGCACCGGTTGAGTTGGGATTGAGGAGGCGGCTGGAGTTGCATGGTTCGTGGCCCCAGACGATATTGGTATGACTTCTATGTCGTCATCTTCGCTGACCTCAGACGGTGGGTGATTCTCGCTGGCCGGTGTAGGTCTGTTCGGAGGGGTGGTAAAATCAGGGCCCGTGTTCCGCTTGCCGGGTGGGGCCTCCAATGGATGAGGAGTTGGGCGCTTTTGACGGTCGACCCATAAGAACTTGACGGAATTGGGGGGCAACTGAGCGCTAACTTCAGGGGCATTGGCGACCATCGCCTCGGCCCAATCGGACAGGTCCTTCATCAACACGTCCATGACAAGTTGGGGATTGTGGGGGTGCACCAAGGCCATATTGGTGAGGGTGAGGGACGTGACCGTTGATTGTTCCTTGATGCTCTTGATAGCATCGGCAATCCGACGATGATGTTCGAACTGCCAAAGAAACGAGGGCAAAGAGCGTCAGCTCATCTAATAATTACCACACGACAAAAAACGGCGTGATAATCACACTCCACCCCCCTCTGCACACACACTCCAACACTCCCCTCAGAGAAGGGAGTGTGGGACCGCACGCCAATCAAAATTGGTGTGCGGACCCGCACACCAGCCCCCTGCGCGGGCATTACCCCAGCAGGTTGGCGTGCGGGTCCGCACGCCAATTTCAATTGGCGTGCAATGCTGCACGCCAACCGTTAAGCGAGGTTGCCTCGCTTGCAGGCAGGCGTGCAGCCGGCATTCACATATTCACGACCTAAACCCATATTCATATGGGTTTAGGTCGAGCCATATCCCATAGGACCCAGGGATGGGTCCTATGGAGACTGTCGTTCAAACCTTGAACCGACATGGGTTCAAGGTTTGAACCCTGACGGCCATAGCCAAGGTTCAAACCTTGGCCAATGGCCGCGAAGATACCTGTAGGACCAGGCCTGCTCCTACATGGGTTCGCTT